GGGATTTAAAGGTTAGTTGCTTATTTGTTTACTAGCTTTCCCAAGCAGTTATTAAGTTGTTTTTGCTTAGTTCTCACATTTCTTAGCAGTTATTAAGTTGTTTTTGCTCTTCACTATTTATGGTATTGTGAAATAAGGGGTAGCTAGATACCCTATTATCTGAAATAATTTTGTTTTTTGTTTTTTTATTGTGATACAATATTCAATAATGTATTGTTGGCTGTTGCATGAGGACAGATGGGCACATTCAAATCAAGCCTAAGCCCCATCAGATAATGATGCATTTGATGACTTAAACCGGGCAAAAACTGAAAAAATAAATAAACGATAATCTAATCATCAGAGCTTGAAAGTTTATAATTGAACTATGATAAGAATTTTGTCCAAAAAACAGAAAACTGTGATAAGAATATGTTTTGAAGTATCTAATTACTACACAGTTCAAGCCTAAGCCTCAACATATGGTACTATGCATGAACTACTTAAGAACACATTTGAAGTGTCTAAACGGAAATAACATAAATGATTGATAGCTTATTTGTTTATATTGAGAAAGATGTGTTTGTTTGTATTGATAATGAAACTATAATGGGACGTTTTCAGAATATGAAAACTCGTCGTGGACAATTGTAATGTAGTTTTTTCTATTAATTATGAATTATAAATTATCGTTTCATTTTTATGAGTTTATTTTTGTATAAAAAGCTTTTATCCTTTTAGACGTTGACCCTTGCAAGGAAAATTCCTGGATCCGTCCCTGGTGGTGGTGGTTGTTGGTCATGGTGGTCGTTTTACTTTTACGTCATGTGAGACTTTACAGCTTCACTGGCATTTTAGCAAACAAGTTCTTTTCTTTTAAATAAAGTTTGAAAAACAGCTCCTGCTACAGTCTCAACACCCTACCTTTTCAAGAATTGAAAAATAAATAAATAAAAATTACACTAAATTAGAAAAAAGCGAAATTAAAATACAGGGTGTCTTTGGTTCAGATCCTCAATGAATACGAATCCAACCTGGATTACATTACATAATCACGGCCGTTCACGTAGATTATGAGGCCTATAATGACTTTGGGTTTTTGATCCAAATGATTACTTTAAATTAAGGTGTATTCTCACAATTATTCTAAACACTTGACATGTGTCCATTAACATAATCATAGTTCCATAAATATAAAATAAAGAGTTAACTATGATTATGTCAATAAATACGTGTTAAGTGGTGAGAAGGATTATTAGGGTACACCTTGGATTAAGTAGCAGTAAGCAAAAATATTTCCATGAACTTATGCCTGAATTCTATTTTTGTCCTCCAACCAAATTTTTCACTATAATGGTCCTCAAACTCTTTCTTTCATGTCAAATTAGTCATTCTGTTACATTTTATGTTAACTTGAACCATGTGATTGACACATGATATAGCTTTGGGGTAAATTAAACTTTACAAATCCACCACTTTGAGATGCCCTAATAACCCCAGATCCCAGCACTCACCCTAATTAGGGCTAACAATGGGTCGTGTCATGTCGGATTCGTGTCGTGTTAAGATTATATATGTGTCAGGAATGCTCAACTCAAACCCTACTTGTTCAATAAATGTGTCAGGCACGAGTTGACTCGTAAAGTTCTCGTGCGGGTTTTGGGTCGTGTCGGGTTGACCCGCTAAGTGGTAGCAATTAAAAGATATTTAAAAAAAATTAGAAAAATAAAGAATAAACAAATAAACTGGTTAGTGGGTCGGCAAGTTATACGGGTATTTTAGCGGGTTGACTCGAAACCCACCCTTTTATTAAACGGATCATGGCAGGTACATGACCCGAATTTTAATCGTGCGGGTTGAACCCGCTAAATTCTCGTGCGGATTTCGAGTCATGTAACGGGTCGTGCTCAAAATTGCCACCCCTAACCGCAGTTTAGACCTAATAATATTGTACACGACCCATTAACATGACACGAATTCGCAATCCTAAATCAATATTCAAGTCGAGGCTTAACGGGTTGTGTTGAAAACGGTGAACCCATTAGCCACCGGTCAAGTTAACAGGTTGTGTCGTGTGAATTCTCAAATACTTGTTATCACTTGTTTAGAGTATAGTAATTTTGTAGTTTTATGTCTTTCTTTTTTTCTTCCCTTCCTTCTCCCCTCCCCAACTCTTCTTTGGTTGAATTTTATTTCTTATTTTTCTACTTTCTTTTTATTTTTTATTTTTTTTAGTTTCTTTTTATTCTTAATGGGTGAAATGGGTCGTGTTCGTGTTTGGTATTTTCTACCCGTTAATTGAATGAGTTGTGTCGTGTCATTTTGTTAAAAAAAGTGGGTTGACACGAAAACAGTAAACAAGACTTGTTTACTAGGTCTACCGCAGTTGCACCTCCACCTCCACCTGCATCTGCCCCATGACCACACATCTACCTCCCTCTCGCTCTATGGCACCCACCTCCCCTAAAAATAAAAGGTTAGAAGAAAACTGGCAACAACTATTGGGTGTGGTGTTAGGAGAGAAAAGGCCATCAAATCATACTATGCAAACTCAAAAAATATAGGGGTGTTCACGGTTCGATAACCGTGGCTTGGAAGAGTTGCCGACCACTGTACTGGAGGTCATCGGCGTACCTATTTTAGAGACCTTCGCCGCGCCGAGGAGATGTAAGACCGACTACAATTGGCACGCCGAGAAGTCGGTGCGGTGCAGTTTGGTTCGGCGAGCATCGATGGCAGAGGATTGAATTGAGATTGAGGGCTTGAAGGCCACTTCGTGGGGAGGAAGAAGAAGAAAAGAAGAAGAAGATGCAGCCAGTAGTGGCGAGAGGAAGAAGAAAGAAGAAAAAATGGAGAGAGAACAGAAGAAAGTGGCGACTGGGAGAAAAGAAGAAAAGGAAAAGGAGAGTTCGTGGGGGTAGGGGAAACCTAACTTTTTTCTAAAATGTTTTTTTAATTCTTTTAGATTGTAATAAATATTACAATCATACACACATTTCACAAGAAGACGCACCAGTTCAGTGGTATTTGGGCCTTGTATCTGCACTTTGAACAAAGTTCAATCCTCCATCAGCGCACTTACTTTGAATTTTTAAACAATTTACATGGAAGCGGTCCGGTTCGGGTTTTGATAGTTTAAAAAAATTCAAACCGGTTCAAAATTGGTTTACCATCGGGTCGGTCGGTTTTTCTGCCGATTTCAATAATTTTAATTAAAAAAGTGGACCAAGCCTCCAAAACCGGTCCAATTCGGTTGGTTCTGTCGGGTTTTCAGTATAAATGACCAGCCCTAATCAATTTGAGGAGATTAATTCGACAAAAAAAGATGGGGAATATGATTATAGATGCTCTAAGTTGTGTTTGATGCTTAGTTTAATCTTGTTTATAATTTATGTCAAGCGTTACTCACTTTTAATTTCAATATTGTTGTACTTGTGTTTTATTTTCTATGTTGTTATACTTGTTTATTTTTATGAGACAATATTTGTTTTAGCAATTTGAACTTTTGAGGTTAAAATATTTGTAGATAATTTAAAATAATATAAATAAAAATTAACTAAAAAAAGTAATGAAAAAAAAGGTTTAAATAATTGTTAAACAACAATTATTAAAGCTTAGGTCTCATATTTTGATAGTGTAAGATGGATGAAAAGAAAACTATTTGAGGCTTTGAATGTCAATTTTTTGGAGCTGATTTTTCTAACTCTTTTCTAATTACATTCTCTTTTGCTTTTTAATACTTTTTAATTAATTTTGTTCTTTAGCTTTCCTATTCTACCCTTATTCTACATTAATTTCTTTTTACTTCACTTTTTTCATTTTCTTTATACTTAATTTTCCAACTTACACTCCATTTTCTTTTTGGAGTTGAACAACCAATTCATATATACAACACTAAATATTTTCTTAATGTTGGTTGAATAATTAGAAACCTGTATCTATGCAAATAAATGTAGCCTAATTAAAAATAGTTTAAAAAAAGCTGGTTAGATGTCGATCAACACTATGTCATTAATATATCCATACAACTTGCAAACCTGTACATTTTTATTTGGAAAATCGAGAGATAGGCATGCAATTGAAATGAATGTCATATGCAAGAACGACTCCATAATAGTTAATTGAAATTTTTTTTGAATAGAAACAATTTGTATTCAAAATAGAAAGGAATAGAACACATACAAACGAGCCAAGCCAAAACAAACACAAGGCCTAGCTACCCAGGAAACAAAAACAAGCAAAACAGAGGAAAGCCCCCCCCTAGGAGACAACCGCCAGCATATTGCGCATAATAATAGGGTAGGGAATATCCTTAAAAACGTGGGAAGTAGAAGCCCAAAGGGCAGCCCAAAACTTCACCCTATCCCATAACTCACCTACTCCCACTCCCTTATAATCCTCGAAGATTCTCCGATTCCGTTCCAGCCAAATGTTCCAGATCACAGCCTGCATTAGACTACCCCAGAGAATTTTAGCTTTCTTTCCCTTTCCCAGCCCATCGAATTTAATGGAGAAAAGATCAAAGCAACCTTTTGGAATTACCCACACCATATTGACTTCCTTCAGTAATGTCTCCCACAAATTAATGGAGAAAGGGCAATGGAGGAGAAGGTGGTCCACACTCTCCCCTGCCATATTGCAGAGAGCACACCAGTGAGGGCTGAGACACATGAAAGGACGATGTTTTTGTAGTATATCACCTGTATTAAGTTTTCCCAACACCGCTTGCCACACAAAAATCTTAACTTTCAGCAGCACTCTTCTTTTTTATGGTTATTTAGATTTAGGATGGATATTTTTAAAGGAAATCTTTTAGAGGGTTTTAATAAAAAGCTGCTAAACAAAACTGTTTTCAGTAAAAAAAAAACAAAACAAAACAAAACAAAAAAGATAAACAACTCTTTCATTTTTAAGACACTGAGCATGCACGGAGTTCGAATCGCCTCCCCACATTTTAAATTAAATTAAAGTAGAATATTGTTTGAATAAATTTTTTTCTTTAGCATATTTAGATCTAAATTTTCTTTTTTCGAAATACAATTATTCATGTCAACGGGGTCTAGCCTAATGAAAAAAGACCTTGACTCCAAACATCCTCCCATAATAGTTAATTGAAATGAATGCATTAATTTTCTAAAATTATTTGAAAAGGAGTTTTGAAAAGGAGTTAATTGTTGTTTTATAATACATATTTATTAATAAAAAATAAATATTCCTTGTCGGATTGGGTTCGGAGATGGGGATAACAATACCATCCCTGACCCATCTTTGACCAGGAATTTAAAAATTCGGGGATCCCCGTACCCATCCCCAAATTTCCCCTTAAATCTCCTCCTGTTAAGGCCGGGGATCGTCCCCCATGGGGATTTTTGCCATCCCTAGTTCGAACAGGAGATCGGTCTACTAGTCAAGGTCTTTTTTCATTAGGCTAGACCCCGTTGACATGAATAATTGTATTTCGAAAAAAGAAAATTTAGATCTAAATATGCTAAAGAAAAAAATTTATTCAAACAATATTCTACTTTAATTTAATTTAAAATGTGGGGAGGCGATTCGAACTCCGTGCATGCTCAGTGTCTTAAAAATGAAAGAGTTGTTTATCTTTTTTGTTTTGTTTTGTTTTGTTTTTTTTTTACTGAAAACAGTTTTGTTTAGCAGCTTTTTATTAAAACCCTCTAAAAGATTTCCTTTAAAAATATCCATCCTAAATCTAAATAACCATAAAAAAGAAGAGTGCTGCTAAACAAACCCTAAAATTAACTAAGTGCACCATACTATCAAAGTATTTATTGAATTACTAAGTTATCTTATTATAAAATGACCAAAAATGAGATTTTTTATTTTTTATTTTGGGGGGGGGGGGCTTTAGAAGATTTACATCGCGTCTTCATTTCATGTGATTTTGTTTCTGCTTTTTGGGAGACTAGTCCATGGTGGAGGCTTTTACAAAATAGTGCCCACCTGAATTTTAAATGTTGGCTTGTGCAACTCTTTGGTGACTCATCTAAAGAGTTTGTAGAGCAAGTTTCGATGGTGTTTTGGGCAATTTGGAATGAGAAGAATTCTGTTTTATGAACAGGCAGACGACGTGGGATGTTGGAAGTGGTTAATTGTGCTATTCAGGTCTTGCACCAATTCCAGGAGCACAACTTTCCTAAGGGTGTTGTGCTAGCTTGTGCAACATTAAAATGGGGCAGAGTCTCTGTGGGTTTTTTAAAACTCAATTTTGATGGGGCTTTCAAGAGGGTTTTGCTGCTTCTTGGTTTATGATTTTAGTTTTATTAGTCAGATATGCAAACCTAAAATTTGAAAAGAGGGCACGAATTCATGTAAAAAGAGAAATTTGATTTAAGATTGGCATTATGATGTTGTGTGATAGAGTGTATTAGGCTGCACCATGGGTATTTTTGGTAGTTAAATAAGGTGTACTTAGTTAATTTTGCATTTTAATTAAAATATTAGGGTGTACTTAGATCATAGGGTGTACTCAGTTAATTTTAGGGTTCGTTTAGCAGCACTCAAAAAGAAACCTATTCCCACACCGAGCCATAAACCTAAGCAGCACTCTCTCTCTCTCTCTGCAGTCGATGTTAGGGTTTGTTGAGTGGGTTCTTGAAGGTGAAAGAGAGGGTTTCTTCATTAAATGCTCTCCCTTCAACAATCTCTCAGTTCCCTCTCTTTTCATGTCTTCAATCGACGTCTTTCTCTTCTCCTCTGCTCTTTCAGGGCCTCACAAAACCCTAATTCTTGGTTTCGGTTCCGACGTTTTTCACATACTTCTTCCTCATTTCAATCCTCTCACAGGCAAAATTCGTGCTTTTCGTTAGGTGTTTCTGGGATTTCCAATTCGGTTCTGTGCGCAAAATGAGTAATTCTAAGGTGGGTTTTGTATTTGTTATTGACTAGTTTGTCTTCTTGTATGGTTTTCATTTGAGGAGGATAATTTCACTAACTTGTGACTGGTTTTGTGAAGTTTAGTAATTAGAGAGATTGGAAATTTCGGTATTGTAACTGTCATGCTTGGATGAAACTTCTGTTGGTCTGATTGATTTTGCTTTATGGATGACAAAGTGCCTCAATTTGCTATTTGTCATCGTAGATTGGTTCGTTTGTGATGCATGTTTTCAGTTCCATTTTATGATGGATATTTAGTGTGGGAATTTATTGTGGTGGCAATGGCTATTCCATTATAACACAGCTTTACCTCACTAGGCCCTAAATTAGCTGATGAGTAATAATGCAGAAGTAGATTTGTTGTTATCATTGCTGTTTCAGCATCTAGTAGGATATTTTGCACCGTTCTAGCCTTATGGTTTATTATGTGATTTTGAAATATTAATGTTAATTGGCCTGGGATTTTTCTCTTCCTTGTGCTATAAAACCTGCTAAATTTTGTTGTTATTCCTTGTTTGCAGCTATTCATTTTTGGGTCATTCTTTGAAGACGAGACCAGGTCATTGCTGCAAAAGCAATCACCTAGGAAGGCTGAAAAGCCTGTGGAAAAGAATGTATTGCAGTTTGGGTCTATAAATTTTGCTTCTAAAATATCTTCGGGTGAATGTAATGGTGAATCAAGCAGGCCACAAAATTCTGTGAAGGGGCTCGGCAAAGTTCGGCCTTTAAGATCACTTAATAAGCAGAATGAAGTGGAGGCTGTAAAAGCAGCAAATGATAGTTTACCAGCATCTTTAACTACTCCTACAGAGAATGGATGTACTGATAATTATAAAAATGGTTCTGCCCATAGTAATGGTGTGAAAGAGGCGACAACAGATAATATTGATGTAGCTTCATTACCTTTATCCAATAACGAAGGTGGTCTCCCCAATCAATTTTCAAGTCTGGAATTGCAGAACAGAGAGCAGAATGGTCGTGTTGATGATTTATCAGCTTCTAAGGTAAAGGGGGAACTACAGAAGTGTTTGAATGGGCCTGTTACAGTTTCTACAGTCTTGTTGCCTCGTGGTTTAATCAATTCAGGGAATCTGTGCTTTCTCAATGCAACGCTACAGGCTCTTCTATCCTGTTCTCCTTTTGTTCAGCTTCTGCAGGAATTGAGAACTCGCAAAGTGCCTAAGGTTTCGTTTGTTTACTCGATTACTTTGCATTTACGTGGTTTTAGTAGAATTGCTATTTGCAAATAACAAAATTTAAGGTGCTGAGATAGAGTTAGGCCTAATCTATGAAGGACAATTATGTTGGTGATTTATCTGAGTTCTCTGGCGTTCATAATGTACTCAAGTGTCACTGGTTATGCCTATGTATCTCTGACTCTGTTTTTTCCCTCAGGCTGGATTAGCTCTTGGAGAGTTGCGAAAGGAAAATAATTTCCTAAGAAGCCTTTGGCCAGTAACTAATCCACCTTCAAGTCAAGAACATCTTTTACATCCTCAACAACCAGCATCTCAGGCAGGCCAACGTTTGTATCTGATCTGGGTCAATAATTTTCTGTTCTAGTTTTTGTCTTTTTATATTTTTTATTTCTATGTTGAGCCTTCTTATTGCAAATTTAATCCTTGATGGTATTGCTGGCTGAAATTGTAAGGCACGATCATTGCAAAAAGATTTAGACACATGCACCTATTTGTAGTCACAAAAGTTGTCCTTCCCTGCCACTTTTTTTCTTTTAAATCCCTTATCCACTGTTTCCTTTCTTTCCTTATATTAATATCTTTTCACTATTTCCAAATAAACAAGAAAGGTCAGACATGTAGTGCAATTTTGTTACTTTTTTATTCTCATAAATCTTGTATTGATCAGTAATGGTTTTCTGTCAGTATTAGTAAGCTTAATTGATAATTCTCATGCTTTACAATTTGTCTGATGGCTTGAGAAAGTGCCACTGCCTGACATAGCTCATGACTAAAATGCCTGCAGTTAAAGTGTCTCCACTTAAATTGTTTAGTTTCTGAAAACATGTTACACTTTTTTCCAATTCATTTATCTGTTTGTGGTTTATTACACCTGTTGCAACCCATTTAATGTGAAATAATGGGTTAGACTGAAATATTTTAGAAGTTAACTTGTGATTGGTAAAATGTTGTAACAAATAGGTTAACAATCTTCTGTATTATTCTGAGTTCGCCAATATTTTCATGGACCAAGGAAAGAAGAAACCTAGAGAGTAATTACCAAAGGGTTAAATTTGCATTAGAAATAAGCAGCTTGTTTAGTTTCTTCTCTGTCTAGTGTAAATATCTATGTCAGCATGTCTATATTCTACTTTCTATTTTAAGTTGCCTAGTGAAACTATTTTTGTTTTTCAGACAAGAAGATGCTCAGGAGTTCCTTAGCTTCATTATGGATCAGATGCATGATGAATTACTTAAGCTTGAAGGACAGCCCTCGAGTATTAATGGGCGCAAATCATCTCTAGTATCTTCTGCAGAAGAAGATGAATGGGAGACGGTTGGCCCTGAGAATACATCTGCAGTAACCAGGACACACAGTTTTGTTCCTTCAGAAATAAGAGATATTTTTGGAGGACAATTGAGAAGTGTGGTGAAGGAAATAGGTGTGGGGATTGCATTATTCTTATGGCTGTTTAAGTTTTTAAAATTTCTAACAGTTTTGTTAGATATATCTTTGTACTTCCAAATTCTTGCTGTTCACACTTGCATTTTGAGGCTGTGAGGTTCTTCATTTTTTCTTCATAATTCAAAGAGGTAGACAATTTTACAGTTGATTCACTTTTTATTTTTTGAAATTTTGAAATTTAGATACAGTTTGAACATATGATATTCTCTTATTGTCAGCTTCTTAATGTCATATGGACTTTTGGCTCCTTTTCCTGTGTGCATGTGAAGTGATAAAAAGATTTAATTATCTACAATTCTTGAGTTTTAGCAAGAATTCATGGTTCTTGTGTTGTTGTAAGTTAGATGCAGTATTTGGCATTCTGGAGAATTTACTTAAGCGTAAAGGAATTCCACATCAGAAAATTTTAATTATATTTGTAGACAAATATAATCTTAATCTACTCGAGGGACTTGACCTTAGCTCGTTAATAAATATATTTGGATGAATAACCAGAACTTCTGTTGGCTAGTGCATTCGAAGAAACTGCTGGGATCAATTGTCAGCATATGGTTATAGAAGATAGGGTTGAGCTACTTTAGTTTGCTAGTAGAGTTGAGCTACTTTTATTTTGGCGCACTCTGCTTTTTTTGGCCTCAGTAGTGATTCTATCATGAGTTTTATGTGTTAGTTTTGTTTTTGTTAAGCAGGAAATAAAGATTCTGCTCTTGTTGAACTATTTTTATTGCTCCCGCTTGGTATTGACCCTGAAGCTGTTCATACTATCGAGGATGCACTCAAGTTGTTTTCTGCACCAGAAACTCCTGAGGGGTATCGAACATCAGCAGCTGGGAAGGTATACTCTCTCTCTCTCTCTCTCTCTCTCTCTCTCTCTCTCTCTCTCTCTCTCTCTCTCTCTCTCTCTCTCTCTCTCTCTCTCTCTCTCTCTCTCTCTCTCTCTCTCTCTCTCTCTCTCTCTCTCTCTCTCTCTCTCTCTCTCTCTCTCTCTCTCTCTCTCTCTCTCTCTCTCTCTCTCTCTCTCTCTCTCTCTCTCTCTCTCTCTCTCTCTCTCTCTCTCTCTCTCTCGCTCTTGGTGACTTATTGTTGTCGCTTTAGTTTTGGGTGTAGTTGTAATGTGTCACCCTTTTTGTCCTTGTATTCTGTATAATCAAATTTGAACAGATTGCTTGGTCATGGTTATTTTTTAATTTTTGATGCATACTTCTACCCAGAATAAATGAATTTAAAGGTAGTGCATCTGAAATACTTATGTGCCACAGCCTAGGTTTTATAATAGTTTGATTTTTTTTATTTATTGTTATCAACCTCAAGCATAGTTTGTTTACTTAGAAATAATGTTAACTGTTGTTTGACTTTTATGTATATCATCGCTTTTCAGGATGGTGTTGTAAGTGCTACTAAATCAATAAAGATACAGACACTTCCAAAGATAATGATCTTGCACTTGAAGCGTTTTGTTTATGGAAGCCAAGGAAGAACTAAGTTGCATAAGCCCGTGCGTTTTCTACTTGAGTTGGTGTTGGGTCATGAATTGCTTGTTTCTCCAACTACTGAGGTGATGCTCTTTTATATCTAATATATTTATTTTAAACTTTTATCTAGTGACCCATATTTCTTCAATTATGTGGAAATAATGATATGCCTTTCCTACACCTTTCTGTTACCAATTCCATGTTTATGTGTTTGTTCTTTATTATTGTTTCTTTCCGGTTTACTCGTTTGTTCTTGAGCTGTATTTGTCTGTTAGACAACTTATAATATTTGTTTTCAGAAATTGCAGGTGTGCTATCAATCAGTTGCTTTACTGGGAAAAAAAATATAATGTATAAATCAAGTTATGTAAGATTTATATGTGAGTGCAGCAAAGACTTTAATGAGTGAAAGATACAAGGAATTGAGAATGGCACGTAACTACTCTCAAAATGAAATTTTCCATAAATAAAAAAAATATAACTAGATTATTATTAAAGTATAAAAACTCTAGATATAATTTAAAACTACTAGTACAAACTATAATATTTTGAAATGACTAGGTTCAGTGAGTCATTTGAAATTAAGAGCATTCTAATGAATAGTTTGAAACTGTATGATATGAGCTGAAAGTTCCTAGATTTGAAATCTTTTATCTAGATGGATCTTTCATTACTATGGGTTTTGATTGATAATTTCTTGGATTTGTCTGTTGTCATAGTGTGTTTATACATTATTTCACCTCTTGACATCTTGTGATCGGAGTTGGTACAAAAAATCCGAAAAAGAAGAAAATAAAGATATTCCTTATTGTCTTCTTGTGACTTATAAGTCTTGAAGTTAACGGTTTGACTACCTTGTGGTAGTCAGAGCCAGATTTTCAAGATTACTTTTGCCTTTTATATAGTCTCTTTTTCTTGTTTATTTTCTTCACTTTCCCTCTGTAGGGTCGAAAATACAAACTTGTTGCTACAATAACTCATCACGGGGGAGAGCCCTCAAAGGGGCATTATACAACTGATGCTCTTTATACCAATGGTCAGTGGCTGCGCTTTGATGATAGATCTGTCACTGCAATTGGAACCGGCAAAGTATTGCATGGCCAGGCATATGTCCTCATCTACAAACAATTGTAAAAGGGCAGTTTGGACAAGTAATGTGTTGCATTACCAGGCTTGTGTCTACAAGCAATTGTGGAATATAACCGAGCAGTACTGACTTCGCATTGAGAGAGAGACCTATCCCGTTCATGTAATGTGTTGTCCTCACTCGGAATCGTATCTCGTTCCGTGGGTTGATGCTTTAAACTTGCCTACGATTCCCATACAAGGGTGGTGGCTAGATAAAATGGCTGTATAATTCTTTTAACTTATGTCTAGTGCAGCGGTTTTCAGTTGTTTTATGATGTAATATATATGGAAGATGCTGCTGATATGCTATATTTAGTGAATGCTTTCATATTGTACTTATTTTGGTCGCGTTCATATTATCCAGTAACATCCTATACTACTGTAGCGTAACAATCCGCTTTTGACTTCTACAGGTTTAGTACTTCCAGAAAGTGTAAGAAAACCTTCTTTTGACTTTTGGTCTGTCAATTTATTTCAGTTGGGACTAACGACATTTTAGTCCATCGATGTTTAGGTGGTGTATCGATATGGATCTTGGGGTTTCAATTTCATCAATTTGATACTCAACATTTCTAAATTTGACCAATTCAGAGTCTGTTAGATTGACTGTCAGTTAGATGTTAAATGTTGATGTGGCAACTGCAGGACCTACCACAGATTGTTGACTTCTCAGTCCAATTTGTCCATGTGAAGGGCATTTTCGAAGGAAAAAAAACCAGCTCATATCCTTTGAACTTTGGAGTCGTTGCCCCCTTTAACCCAAAGTCTCAGAGTGTGCCCTAACTCCCGTTGCGAAGAAGATCAAGAAGCAGTTTGAATCCTTGAATGGATGAAGAGGCACCAATGTGTTGGTGTGGAAAGAATGCTACAATTCGATTCGAATGGATGAAGAGGCGCCAATGTGTTGGTATGGAAAGAATGCTACAATTCGAATCTTGGGGGTGATTTGCTTTCTGTGCAAAGATACGTGAGGGTAATTGAGAGAAAATAGTGGGTGGGAAAAAGGGGTTATGTGATTGGGAAATTAGACAATGGGTGAAAATAACAGCCTGAATTTATATTGTTTGTATTTATGTTTTGCTCATGTGTAAATTACTTATGTGGACTCTACCCAAAAAATGCTAATAGGATTCGGGAAAAAATCGTTGCCTTTTATAGTGAAAAATTGATGCCTATTACAGCAAACAACATCGGTCTCTTCAAACCAACTGATGCCTTAATGAGCTTCAGTTGTTGACTTTCTTCAAAATAACGTTGACTTTGATGTCTTTTAAGGAGAACCACTTCACTTATGATATATTTCCTAATGTCTTTAAGGTATTTAGCATCGGTTATTATTCATACATTGTAGTGTCTAACTGTTATGAGCATCGTTTTCTATCAAACTTGAGGATTTGTCCGAACTTGAATCTTTCTTGATAACTGTGGGGGTCTTTTTGTTGAGAATGTTAGAATCCCACATCGATTGGGTGAAAGAAATGAAATGGGTTTAAATAGAATTACCCCACGCTAACTAATATCGAGGCCTTTTGTGGTAAAACCCCACACCTGACGGATTGGGCAGGTGGTAAAGTGGGGACAGTATCGATGTTGTTAGAGTGGACCCAACGGGCAGATCCAAAAATTTAACATGGTATCAGAGCCGAGGCCCGTACAAAAAAAA